AACGGTTAAAAAGGGTTCGAAAAATTGATTTGGCGAAGAGACTGCTAGAAAGTTGTACCGACAGTTCAATGTGTTCAAAAATTGTAGCGTTGACTAAAACCGCATTTAACGGCACGCTGAATATTGCAACATGAAAAATTTGCCAAAAAACTGAAACAAGGACAGACAAGAACAATTAAACAGGCATTTTATGAAACTGGCGGAAAATGTTGAATACATTTTCAACAATTTCTACGGCGTCTACAAAAAAAGTGTTACGACTTTAAACAAAATGGCTGATACAGTGACGCGAAAGCAAAACAATAACATTTACTCTAATAAGCCTCCAAATCGCACACAACCTTCATAAGTATGCACAGTAGTATACTAAAAATTCATTTGGTAGTATTTTTTATAATATAATGTATTTTAAAATAGTGACTTAGGGGTTAGAATTTTTGTCACTTTTTCTACCGGGACCCAAGCTTACTATCATGACAACAGTGAAAACGATAAATGACGATTCTCGATTCTGAATGTTTTCACAGTCATAAAGAGTACTCATCCGAAATGTACGTGTAGTTCTTCGTAGAGCTTGTTCACTAAACGTGGATATTCTATCGAAAACGAGCTTAAAATTTCAAATTCGCGGAACATCAAGTGATCGACACAAAAATGAAACAAAATGGTGGGCCTTGAAATCTCAAGCAATAGAGGGCATACACAGCGCGACACGCATCCTTGAGGGATTAGGCAGATTCACACCTTTTAACAATAGCGTTTCCTAACCGTGTTTTTTAGTAACCGTGCCCAGATTTAGTGTTTGAGACTCAATTGTACAGGCAAATAATTTTTAGCCATTGTTTATTATAAATTTTGGGGTGGCTTAGGTGCGTTTGTTCAACCAAGGATTGGTTGTTGCCAGAATATCATATCAAATCTTGTTTAAGGTCTGTGAGTGGTTTTGTTCAACCATGGCCTGGTTGTTGCGGAGATTAATACTGTGCATTAAACTGGAATAGACGTCTGGCAAAAAAACAAGCCATGCATGGCACAGTCCCTGTTAGTTATCGAATTTAAGATACCGTAAAAACCCTCAAATAAGAGCCACTTTGTAACACTTTCATTTCTGGGTGGTGCTTATTTGAGGTAACATTTTGACAACTTTGTAGCCAGTGGCTCTTAATCCAGGGTGATCAAACTTTTTCATTGTGAAATGGGGAAGGGATAGGCAAACACACACACAACCAAAACAGACAAATAATTATTAATGATGTATCATTGCAATTAATTTATTCTGTAAAAATACTGTTATGGGAATAACAAATGTCAAATAAATAAGAACGGCTGCTGGCTGACCGTGCTGCTTAGCGTACACGACGATTTGACGTTTCACCGACAATGTGTAGTGATGCCTGAAGTCATGTTTCACTGACAATGCGTAGCGATGCCTGAAGTCGGATTTGGTAGCACTCTCAGTGTCTGACCCACACTTGTACTTCCGTTGTACAATTGTTTACCAAGTCTGGTACGGCAAACTCCAATTTTTTTCTTGAAAACTGGGAATAACTTGCGTGGCTGTGGCTGGTGTGGTGGTTGATTTGGTGACGATATAAAATAGTTTCGATAGAATTTATCTGACCAGCAGCGACAGGAGCATGGAACGAATTATGTCCAATCATTTGTATTTATGGCAAAACAATAAAGAAAAACACGTTTTTCTATAGATTTTTACAGCTTGGGTACTTGGGCATTGTTTTAATTGCGCTAGACGTCTGAAAGTACAGCTTTGGTTTATATATTTCCTGTTTCATAATCAAGCAAGCTTATAATGATATGTTAATGATATTCACGTACTTCACTGTCCAGGCTAACGGGGTCAAACTATAGCCCCACCCCTATATAACCAAATACGAAACGATACTGAGAAAGTAACAATTACATGTATTAAAAATAATTTCCTGTGACCAATCGGAGACTAAATCATTTACGAAAGCCCAGGCCTGTTACAAGGCATTTTCTAATTGGTACAAGTCCAGATTATTTTCAATTCTCACAAATAGCTAATTTAAATATTTGGGTCAGGCGGGTCACGTCGACTTCGCTTTGCTGTAAAGACAAGTTGATCGCGCAAGTTTGTGGAACTAATCCATTCGACATCAATTTTGATTATTTTCGGCAAGAGAGTCCTCTCCAAACTAATGCCAGTTATTTTGTCACTTCCCTGAACATTTTGTCTCGAATCACCCCAAAACGAACGTCTCAAATGAAATGCCAAAAATAACCCAAAGTCACGATCCCTCAAATGTTGCCAGGACCGGATTAACACCTCTGTTTCCCCCCACGCTAACCAAATTTCCCCCACGCTAAGGAAAAAATCTTTTGTTTTCTATTGACTTCCTGTTCCGGTCCGTCTGTGAGAAAGTATTTTCGATACCTTCGATTTTCCGATAAAGGCGTTCTAAAATCGTGACGTTTTTTACTTGGTTATAAAGACAACATTGGCAATGAAAATCTCAACGTGTCCTTCGGTGTTTCGGCAAAAAACATAGTTACTACTAAATAAATGCCAGTTATTTTGTCACTTCCCTGAACATTTTGTCTCGAATCACCCCAAAACGAACGTCTCAAATGAAATGCCAAAAATAACCCAAAGTCACGATCCCTCAAATGTTGCCAGGACCGGATTAACACCTCTGTTTCCCCCCACGCTAACCAAATTTCCCCCACGCTAAGGAAAAAATCTTTTGTTTTCTATTGACTTCCTGTTCCGGTCCGTCTGTGAGAAAGTATTTTCGATACCTTCGATTTTCCGATAAAGGCGTTCTAAAATCGTGACGTTTTTTACTTGGTTATAAAGACAACATTGGCAATGAAAATCTCAACGTGTCCTTCGGTGTTTCGGCAAAAAACATAGTTACTACTAAATAGTTTGTGAATTGGTCGATTGTGTGTCAGAAATTTAAAATAGACAAGTTGACAGTCACATTCACGCTCTCAACGTATTTCTTTCGTCTGTCATTCTTCCGTTCTCAATTATACTGGACATCAGGCAAGCTATGGGGGTAATCTTTATTTGTCTCGCACCTTCTGTGGGGCAATAAACAATGCAGCGTGGAAGTGAGGCACGACAAGCTTGTGTCTGCCTGATTGTAAACAACCGGGCGGTTGGCGCTTATTTCTGGTTTCTTATTGACAAAACCACTCAACTCTTGGTGGCTCTTAATGGAGGGTCAAATGTAACAAATTTTCACTGAGTGGCTCTTAATTGAGGGTGGCGCTTATTTGCGGATTTTTACGGTAACAAGAATTCTGGATGGATATAAACTAGACTGTTGTTACATGTGTATCACTTTTAAATAAATGCTAAGACTAAGTCATGTATTACTCGTTAATGTATATTTCATCTCATATTCGATAAAAAAAGAGTTCCAATGGAATTGAGAACAGAAATTTTACCCCTCAGATCTCATGGCGGAAAATAACTTCTTCCACAATAGCATATTGTTTGGGACTTACCTGTACTTTCAAAAGCTCATCTAACTTGTTCTTATAATGTAAATCCACTAATTCTGTCTCCAGTTCAGCTTTTCGAAGTGAAAGCATTTCGTTTTCATTCCATATCCAGTAGATTTCTGACTGAAAATTCAGAATATACATAAAGCACTATTTTAATGATCATCGAACGCAACTTTAGAGTAAAGTTTTCTAATCCTTTATATAAAGTTTACTGTCCCAATAAAATTTACTTGTAAAGTCTACTCCATATTAAGACCACACAGTCCAATGAGACCAGTGATCACCATGATGGCACAAGTTTGTTCAATTGAATTT